ATGGCTACCAGCATGCCAAAGCCAGAAGGCAGTTTTATCGGATGGCAGGGGTCACAGCATGGGTTGTCATCGCTGCTTTTGTCCAGAATCTGGGTCAGAAGTAGCAGAGCCAAGACACAAGTTGATGCCCGTGTGGTATTCCTGTGTGGGCAGTAGCCAGTGTTGGACTTGGCTGGTTCCTTTTCTGTAGCTAACTAATCATTAGTGCTTTTTAAATTATTTTTAAATCATTTTTATTTGAAAGATTTACTAAGAAAAGGAGAGACAAACAGATCTTCCATCCACTGATTTACTTCCAAAGTGGTCATCATGACTGGAGCTGAGCCAACCCAAAGCCAGGAGACAAGAGCCTCTTCTGAGTCTGCCACGTGGGTACAGGGTCTCAAGGCTTTGGGCCGTCCTCTCCTGTTTTCCCTGTCCACGAGCAGGGAGCTGGATGGGAAGTTGAGCAGTCAGACAGGATCCAGTGTTCATGTGGGATCCTGGCACTAGAGCTTTCTTGAAGTGTTTTTTTGCAGTTTGTTTGTTTTTACATTTCATTTATTTCTTTGAAAGGCACTTACTAGTAGACTAACCAAATGTCTGCATCAGATGGAGCTTCTTGCAGACCATCCACATGGTTCAGAGGTCCAAGGACTTGAGGTCTTTCTGCTGCTTTCCCAGGAGCATTAGCAGGGAGCTGCATTGAAGTACAGCAGCCAGAACTCAAACTTTTGTCCATGAGAGATGTTGGTAGCACAAATGGCAGCTTTACCCACTATGCCACAATGTTGGCCTGGTTTTATTTGTCTTAAGTCACATGTGGCGCATAATTTTAAATTTCATAATAACTATTTAGATGTGCACTATGGGACCAAGTACAATGGCTAAATCCTAGCCTTGCGTGTGCCAGGATCCCATGGGCACATGTTCATGTCCTGGATGCTCTACTTCCCTTCCAGCTCCCTGCTTGTGGCCTGGGAAAGCAGTTGAAGATGGCCCAAAGTCTTGGGAACCTGCCCCCTTGTGGGAGACCCGAAGAAGCTCCTGGCTGCTGTCTTAGACCAGCTCAGCTGCAGCTTTTACAGCCACCGAATGGAAGATCTTTGTTTTTGTATCTCCTTGTCTCTGTAAATCTGCCTTTCCAGTAGAAATAAATAAATGGTTTTTTTGAAAGTGCAGTTATGTTGGATTGATGCTTTAGAGCTCCTAAAGGAGTACTTCTTCCCCTATAAACTCTTACCCTTCAGAATATTTTCTAAAGCAGAGCCAGTGATTACTTGCAAATATTTAGTTTACACTGTGATTTAGGGGGCTCCTTTCTAAAATTTAGTCTTGTGTGTAAGTCCAAAACTTAGTATTCAGTGCTTGTTGTGTATGAAGTCCTCTTTTGGAACTATTTCATTGACTTGTAAATAAAGTTGCTTTAAACATCTTCAATACTCAGTGTTTATTCACCATTTGAATTGCCAGCCTGGCCTTTGTCTTTGGTGGCAGTGGATAATTTGTATTTACATTCCCTTGTTAAAATATATAAACTTATTCTGGATTTTCTTTCTGTCCAAGTCTTGTATTCAGATCACTACGATTCCCAGGATATGTGATCAGTGGCGTGTCATGGTGCTGGTGTTTGTTCCTGAGGTGACTGGGCAGTAGGGAGGGAATGCCTGGTCCACACCTTGGGAAAACTCACTTAGCAAATTTTTGTGAGTTATTTTTCCACCAGCCTTGGCAAAGGTATTTGTTTATGCAAGATTATTACACAAAATGAAGTGTTCTTGTACTTAAGTACTTTTTGAAGTAAGTGTTTATTACTGAGCTATAATACACTTATACATTAGGAAGGATATTAGTAAAATCAGAAGACATTAAAATGAAATAGCTTTTGAACGTTTCAGAGAGCTGTTTGAGGCAGATCACTTGTGATTGACCATGTGGTGAGGCCTGTGGCCGGAAGGTAGCTTTTGCCATCCTTTGTTTCACTCCGTGGAGAAGGTTGTAGAGGTTTCCAGGTGGCATCATCGCTAAGCAGTTCGTTTAGAGCAGTGTGTTATTTAGTAGTATTTTAACTGCAGCCCTCTTTTTTTTTTCCAAAAATATTTATTTATATATTTGGGGAGCAAAATTAGAGAAAGAAAGCAGTCTTACATCCACTGGCTCATTCCCCAGATGGCTGTAGCAGTCGGACTGGGCCAGGATGACGTTGGGCACCTACATCTCCATCTGGGTTTCCCACATGAGTGCAAACGCCCAAGTACTTAGGCCATCTTCCATTGCTTTCCCAGGTGCGTCATCAGGAATCTGTTTTTAAATGGAGTACCTGCATCTCTTAACTACCTATAGAAGATGCCAGCATTGCCACTCGCAGTTTGGCTTGCTGTGCTACAACACTGTCCCCAGCCATCCCTAAATGGCTGGCATCGTAGTAGTCCATGGATGCAGGTTAACGTGTTTTTGCTACAGATGGAGACACATCTTTTGATTTGCACTAGTGTTTGAACCCTGATTTTACTGACTTCAAAGCCATGCTTTGTTTTTGTAAGATTTTATTTGAATGGCAGAGTTAGGGAGAGACCAGACAGAGTTCTTCCATCTGCTGGTTTGCTGCCCAAATGGCTGCAAAGACCAAGGCTGGGCCAGGAGCTTCTTTCAGGTCTCTCACTCGGGTTTATGGTCCCAGGCATTTGGACTGTTCTCTGCTGCATTCACAGGTGCCATTGCGTGGTGCCGGATTAGAAATGGAAAGACTGGGGCTGGGACCATGGCACTTAATCTACTAGAGCAAAAGACTAGCTCCAGTTTGTTTTACTTTAAAAGATGCTCTTTTGGGGCCCGGCACAATAGCATAGCAGTTAAAATCCTTGCCTTGAATGCGCCAGGATCCCATATGAGCGCTGGTATTAATCCCAGCAGCCCTGCTTCCCATCCAGCTCCCTGCTTTTGGCCTGGGAAAGCAGTGGAGGACTGGCCCCACATGGGAGACCCGGAAGAGGCTCCTGGTTTCAGATTGGCACAGCTCCAGCCATTGCAGCTGCTTGGGGAACCATCAGATGGAAGATCTCCCTCTCTGTCTCTGCTCCTCTCTGTGCATCTGAATTTCCAATAAGAAGAAATAAATCTTTAAAAAATAAAAGAAAAGGATGGTCTTTCAGAAAAGCAGACATTAATATGAAGGGACTTCAAAGTTTGTGGCAAATGGGATTCAAAAAAGACATTAAACATAAGCTTTATTTCTCAGTGTAAACTCCATCAAGTTCAAAAAACACTTGAAAATCTATGGCAGCAGCACTTAAGTCCATGCATGAAGAATCAGGGATACAGAGAATACAACTGTGTCCATTCAGTCTCCGTTGGGTTACTAATTGGGGGAAAAAAGATGTTAGGGAGAGCCCAGTCACACCGAGGTATAACATATAATGGCGTCCCACCGAAACTCAAAACACTTGCCTTGAATGAGAAGAATAACAAGCGCTTTGTCACAGTAGAGAAGGATTCTGTGATAAAGAAGGGCTTGTTTTGCTAAAATGTTGCCTTGTTAGAACACTGCCGGTAGGCTGATGGCATCCTGAGGCCCTGGATCTCTGAGCACCACAGAGCAGTGTGAGGTGACTTGCCCTTGACTGCTCTGTTTCTGCTTTGAGTGGTCAGCTCCACTTGGTGAACTTGGCTTTGTCTTCAGGTTAGCACTGGAGAAGACAGTATACGCTTTTTGGCGCTGTTTACAGCTGCCAGAGGCTGCAGATGATCATTGAACAGACAGTGACACTGCTTGAACAGCCAGTTTACTCCACTTTGATTTTTCAGTTAGAATCCTGTATGTTGCTTGTCAGTCATATTGTTGATTCAGAGTGGAATGAACAATTTTCCCATTTCAGGTCGGGTAGATTTGTAGGCTTCATTTTCCACATCACCTCATCCCTTCTGAAAGCTCACTGTCTGTTGGTACAGTGAGTGCTTTGGGGACACTGTCCCTACAGGTCCTTTAAAAAGCAGAGCTGGTTTCACTGTTCTTCCACTCCATCGTTTTCATCAATTGCATGTCCGTTCTTCAGTGTCGGCGACTTCTGTTTTCATGATAAGGGTTCTAGTCAAAGCAGTACTGTCTTATTCTCTGTCTCAAACCAAATCCCCTCATAACAAATCAGTATGAGTTTATTTTGGTGCAAAACTACCGTAGTGTTTGGGTTGTATTCCTATGGGCCTTTTGGAAACCCTTTCTGTATGAGTGTGTTCTGTGTAGTTTCCTGAGGCTGCTGTGACTAACACTGTCCCTGTCCCAGTTCTGGAACCTTCCTGAAGGCTCTGGAGAGCACCCTTCCTTGTCTCTTCCAGGCAGTTCTCAGCAGTTCTTACCTTTGGCTTGTAAAAGGGCCGTGCCACTGCCTGCCTCCCTCTAATAGCTTTCTCCCCTCTGTGCAGGTCTGTGTCCAAATTTTCTTCTCATCGTGGTGCCAGTTGTACTGCAGTAACCATCCTGCTCCATGACCCCGTTCTTCAGTGCCTCTGCAAGGAGCCTTTCCACCAGGGTCACATTCCACAATGCTGGCAATTAGAACAGGAACCCTTGGCAGGAGACATTGTCATTCCGCAACAGCCTGTAACTGAATTGTATGAGGGTAACTAGTTGAACTTTGTTTTTTTGCTTTAAGTGGTTTAGTTATTTGAGAGAATTACAGACAGAGTATATTCCATCCATTGTTTCACTCCCCAAATGGCCACGATAGATCTCTTCCAGGCTGGGGCCAGGAGCTTTTCTCAGTCTCCCACATGGCAAGCAGGAGGCTAAGCCCTAGATTTTCCCAGGCCATAAATTGGGAGCTGGTTTGGAAGCGGAGAAGCCAGGACACAAGGCAATGTGCATAAGAGAGTCCAGTGTAATGCTCCTATTTTTGTGTTGTTTTAGTAATCATTTGCAAAGAAAATCCAGTGATACTAATGTTACATAACAGAATTTAAACTATTCCTCATTAAGAAATATATATGTGTGTATATATGTATATATATATACATATATATATACACACACCCACTGCCTTAAAAGTAAAGGGTTTTTTAAGCTGTCCTCATAGCTACCTGGAAGTGAGCAGTGTTATCTTTCTATTTGTCAGATTTAAAGGAAAAAAATGAGGCCTTCACAAAACTAATGGAAATTTATTATGAAAAAAACTACATGGATTGATTATTCCATTTTTCCACAAAGTTTGAGGAAATCCTCATGTTAATATTTGCTGAAACTGCTTGGTGCATCATGTCATGCAGGCGTTGACTTATAACAGTTGTCAATAGTGATTAGTAGAGACTCAAGACATGCAAGTCAGTGTGGTGTACCAGTTGCAGTTAGATTGTGCAGACTAACATATAACTCAGAAGTTGGAGGGAAATGGAATTTTTACTAGTGTTTTAAAAAGGCATTTCCTTCTCCAAAGCCTGCTCGAGCCTGATTTGTGTTTCTAGAAGTCCTCAGAGAGGTGGCTGAGTGGTGAGACTGCAGGCGCATCTCGGAGAGGTGGCTGAGTGGTGAGACTGCAGGCGCATCTCGGAGAGGTGGCTGCGGTGCAACATGACTAGAGTTAGCATTTCCTTCCGCTGCTTGTCTTGAGTTTGTCTAAAGAATAACAATCTAGTGGTTAGAAATAGTATCGCTGGTTTTCCTATTCAGCGAAGTAGAAAATCAAGTTTTGAAGTTGATTTTGATTTTTTCCCCCCATGGATCTTCGAAAAGGATTGATCCATTTTGAAATGGAGGCAGGAGAAGAAAGACATGTCATTCACATGAATATATTTACTCAAAGTTTTTTAATCACAAAAAAAGTAACCACTTCTTTAAATACTATTATACTTGATTTGTTGTATGGGTAACTATATTTAGAGGAATTTTTAAAAAATATTTGTTTATCGGAAAGGCAGTTAATCATTTCCATCCACTGGTTCACTCCCCATATCCAGGAGGCAGGAGCTTCATCCCATGTGGGTGCAGAGGCCCGAGTATTTGAGCTGCTTTCCCAGGAGCATCTGCAGGGAGCTGAATCACAAATAGAGCAGCTGATGCTCAAACCCATATGGAATGCCAGTGTTGCAGGCAGCAGCTTAATTTGCTGCACCCCAGCACGAGCCCTGCGAGATGATTTCCTGAGAATTCAAAAAGCATCGGAGTTAATCTGTCAAGAAGAGGCTCCAAAAGCGGTTTCTCTTTGGGGAAAGACAGCCGGGTCTGTCGCACACCTGCGGATGCCAGGAGTTGAGGTACCTATTTTCAGATTCTGGTGTCTAATCAAGATGTCGGAAGAACTGGGCCCTTGTGGAAGTAACAAAATGTCGCAGCGGTGACAGTTACTTCCACATTGAAGTGTGGATTACTTGCCTAATATTGTTGGTTAGGAAGTAACAGCTGTGCTCCTTCAGGATAATGCGTACTTGTTACTTTCCTACAGAAACTTTTGAAATGGTGCAGTACCTTAGACTTTGTAGCTTGAATCTTTATGACGTTTATTTGTTAGGCTGGAGGACTAGTTGGGGATTTTGTTGAATTTGATAGAAATATCTAATTTGCTGGTTTGTTTCCCAAGATAACCACTGTGCCCAGAGTGAAGTAGTGGGTCAGAGTCCAGAATCAGGAACTCGGCCCAGGTGTCCCACAAAGGTGACAGGTGCTCCGTTAGCTGAGCCGTTGTCACTGCCTCTCAGCAGCCCTTCACCAGGAAAATGACATGAGGAACTGGAGGCAGGCATCCAGCCCAGTCCCCCGAGACACAGGCGTCTTAGTCCTAACACCTAGAGGACATTACACAGAATCACGTACACATTCACCTGCCCCAAACTCACAGCTCAAAGCATTTATATTCTGCAAAAGCAAAATCAGTCATTCTTCTTAATCGTTGCAGAGTTAGGTTGAGTTCTAAATGAGCATCAGTTTTCATAGAGGCAAAATAGCGCTCCACCCCCAGAGCAGTCATTCAGCTGCTAGTGGGCCTGCTCATGGGTGGGGAGAGAGATCTCGTGGAAGATGCATCTGGCAAACTGAAGAAAAACAGTAGCCTTTTCATCCCAGTGAGCTTCTGACTTTACGTGCGTCATAGACAAGAATATTGCGTTGGTTCTTGTCTGAAACATCATAAGAATATATGGATAGTTCAGTAAAAGTGGGTCTTAGGCAGTCATGATGCTGAGGTCTGGAGAACTGAAATAGTTAAGGATGTATAGAGAATTGTTAAGTCCTTCTCCTGTATCTTATCCTAAGCAGATTAGCTAACTCCCCTTCCTTTTTCGTTGTTTCAAGTTGCTCATATTGTGCTGGTTGCCAGTCCCACCCAGGGTTCATGAAGCAAGCTGATTATTCAGGAGAAACTTTTTTTTTTGTCCTCGGTCAGTAACGTTGCCTTCATTTTGTTGGGCTCTTGCAACTTTTGAGGAATTCTAATTGTGAAATCCTGTAGATTCAGCCCTCATTAGAAAAAGGCTCCTTTAAATGAGCAGGTAACCAGGAGCACATCCTAACAGTATCCTCATCGTAGAGAATGGGAGCCAGTCAGCTGCCTCTGAGGTTTAAAGCCGAATGGTAGTTCCACTTGTGGCAGCTGACTTTACCAGTATTGGCCTTCATTCATTTGACTCGTTTATTTTTCTCAATTTATCATAGCCTAAGAGAACATTCTTAAGAGCAGCCATACCATGATTCATTATGTGGATTTGTTTTGGCTTCATTCCTGGAACTTATTGGTCCAAAGATGCCAGTAGTAACTAGAAGCTGCTAGAAGACAGTGACGTAGTGTGGACCAGCAGGTGCGCCTTTGCTGGACTTTACACTGCTTCATAATCAGTGTTGAATCAAGAGGAAAACTTCCTTCTATTTTCCTTAAGGGAAAAAAATTACGTATTTATTTATTCGAAAGGTGGAGTTAGGGAAAGACAGAGCTTCTGTCCAATGATTGACTCTGCATCTGGCTGCAATGGCCAGGGCTGGGCTCAGCCAAAGCCGAGGACTAGGAGCTGCTTCTAGGTGCTCAGTGTGGGTGCAGGAGCCACGGACTTGGGTCATCCTCCATTGCTTCCCAGGCGGAAGCAGAGAAACTGAGACTCTCATTGACACCCACATGTGACGCTGGCATTACAGGCAGTGGCTTAACCCACTGGAGCGCAGTGTCATCCCACTCCCCTTCCCCCCTTTTTTTTAAGAATATACTAGTAGATATTGTAATTTGTTAACTACTGTTCTAAACTCATTGGACAGATGAATGCAAAGCGATATTTAAAAGCATTCAGCTTATAGGGTTGATGCGGGGTAGTCGAGAGTGTTTAGCTCATTGTGCAGTATTATGTACATATGTGAAGTCCAGCGGCGCTTTAAAATCCAGCTGTTTGTCTGACGTTGGATTTTAGCCCAGGAAAGAAAACTTCCTGGGTTTCCAAACCACAGCATCCCGATTTGTGCCACTGTTGTTTTTTTCTGCACCCTGCTGCTCTCTAAACAGAGGGGGTTTAAAAGCAGTGAAATGTATCTCTAACAGACCCTTGTGTGGAGACCCTAACGCCTTGGTTTCTGGCTTTGCCGAATCTAATTTTTAGGTTTCATCTGTAGTTAAGAATGTTGCAAGCAACATGAGAGCAGCTCATGGATTTCAGGGTGTTTTGTTTTTTTTTTTTTTTTTCTATAAGCTTACACAAAAGAAAGAACCTAACCCCTGAGGAAAATGAATGCTTTAGCACCTGTCAGTACTAGAATTGATCCTGTGGTGTTTCACCTAGAGGGGTGACAAAGTGTGGGTGTGTCTCCTTCCCCGAGGAGACACGCATCTCCCGCACAGCTGTGGAGGTCCTGTCAGTCTGCCCCAGTGCCATGCACTGCTGAGCCCAGCACGTTCCCTATCACTGCAGGTAACCACTGCCGCTGCGCTGTTCTCTTAAAGTGGTGTGCCTTTCTTGCGGTCCCTTCAGCATCGTCCTCCCGGTTTGCAGAGCTCAGCTCTGGAGTTCTTGGATGAGTTGCCTGTTTACTCGCTGTAGGTTGATTAGCAGCCTGCTGACAGCACGCTACCGTGGCCTTTCCTTGGCTGTGAGATGCAGCCACACCTTCTGTCATCCAAGTGTTTATGTTCCTGGGTTTTTTAAGGTTGTTTTATTTTAAACAAAAATAACAACAGGAAGAACATTATTTATTAGCTCTTCATTTTATCCATGTCCTCATGACCCTGACTATTTTGGCTCTAACTTGAAAGAATCCTTAATAGATACAGTAAGTAGGATACTTGTGTCTTTTTGTTTCAGTCTGAGATTAACCTTGTCCATAAAACCAGTTTAAATCATTGTTAGAAACATACCAATCATGACTTTTGAACCCAGTTAAAAGAATTTTTTTAGATGTTGAAAAATGTTGAAGGTACAGTTTGTACTTTGGAAGAGGAAACTTAAGGGAAGAGAACTGAAAAAGCATAGCAAAAATGATGTAGGCCTGTGAAAATTAAAGAAAGTGAAGCTAGTGAGAGACAGTACTAAGATTGAAAAAGAGCAAGCTTTGTTTAGCACCTGCGTGTACCCAGATGCTTCTTGAACTCAAAAAGTGAAGCCTTACAGTATGTGTGTACATGAAATAACAGACCCAGAGATGAACATTTGATGTGATTCAAATACCGCTGGGATCTTAGAGTCCTGGGTCCTCGCTGAGTTCTTGATAAGCCTCAAAGAGGAATCTATTTTGTGTGAGAAAGAAAAAAAAAGGTCTCAGATATGTGCCCACTGTGACTAGACCAACTAAGCTCCCAGGCTTGATGGAAGAGCCTGGTAAAATCTTGCTTGATGTTGGCACCAAAGTGACTTGCGGACAAACACATACAGAGCTGTGTTGCTTTGAGCGGCTTGAGGTGAGAGCTGGCCGCTGAAATCTCGGATTTGTTGCTGAGCTTGAATCGTGTCTGGACTGCTCTGCGGCTGTCCTTGTGTCCCCTTTCTCAGTGTGAGTACCTCCTCCCTGCTTGCTGAATCGCACACGTTGCACTTTCTTTGGGAGACGACAGATATTCAGCAGCTTCAGACTATCCTGATTGCGGGATGAACTTGTCTGCCTTTGGTAAATGCGTGCTTTCATCTTTGTTCACTTGGCTGTAGGCTGGGGTCTCATTTTGTAGTCAAATTCTAGATAAAGTTTGTGGCCTTATCCTAAAACAGTGAAAAGTATTACAGGCAACAATGTGTTTAAATGATGTCAAGCAAATCAGTCTTTTAAAATATGACTGAAGCTTGGTTTGGTTTTTTTTTTTTTTTTTTTTTGGTCCAATTTAGAGAGCAGATCTGAATTACTTGTTTTTCAGTGCTCAGCTCCAAGTGGTTTTGCAGCTCAAGGAGTTGTGTTCACCCCAGTGAGATGAGCAGCTTCTGCTGCAGGAGAGCTGTTACACAGATGCCAATCCTGAGGTCTGTGTAGTGCGGCTGAGAACCTCTGCCCGTTACCTTTGTGATGATGGTCTCAGCTTATTCTCTTGTTGCTGTTAAGATTATTTTTTATTTGAAAGGCAGATTTTACAGAGAGATAGAAATTATCCATCTATTGGTTCACTCCCCAAGTGGCTGCCATGGCTGGAGCTGAGCTGATCTGAAGCCAGGACCCAGGAGGTTTCCTCTAGGTGTCCCATGTGGGTGCAGGGTCCCG